ATTACAACGTCTGCGTCATAGCATCCATTTGGTCTTCTATTTGCGGACTAATTCTGACCAAGGACAGCGTGGCCACAGGACAAACACGCACAGACTAAATCATGTATACGCAGCTGATCACACACACACACACACACACACACACACACCACACACACACACACACACACACACACACACACACACACACACACACACACACACACACACACACACACACACACACACACACACACACACACATTCTAGGAAGCATCGCCGCACAGGCTTTACTCACGCCCGTTATGGAAGGCTGAACTACAGGCTTTCCCGGATACTGCAACTGACAGTCAGTTTGCCAGGTAAACGAGGATGTTTAATCACCATTTCGCAAGGCAACCACGCGACTGACCAATTTGCATTCAATTGAACACAAAGCCTCATCTGTTTATTTATATTTTTTTTCCTAAATGCACGCTAAGATGTACTCGACACGTTTCTAATCAAAATAATTTCGTATCACGCAAACTGGTAATGAGAATGATCTAAACTACAACTACACTCGGGTATATTGCATTGATCTAATCACCACGAACCTGACAAATGCATCTCATACATTAAAAAAGGAAAGGAAAATCTCTGTCAAGCGTTTTTATGCAAACAATCCAATCTCCATTCATTATTATGCGTCTCGCGGGGTTGCAGAGTTAGACACGCGAACAGAACCTTTTCCCTTCTTTCTTTGTGTGGTAGCATATATCTTATGATAATTGTGGCAATTAAATAAATATCGAAGACAATGGATCAATTTATTTATTCATTTCATTCACATCACTAATGCCTCCTTCCTGGTGTCATCTTCCGTTCTTTCTTTCCTTGTCGTCTCTTCGCTTTATTTTTTGCATTCAAACCATCTATCTAAAGCACCAACAAAATACGTCATGCCACATACAATGGCATACAGCATACCTCGCCGTGCAACATACCAATCCATCGGATACAATCCTCGGCCCAATAATCATACGAACAGTTCATTCTCCCAACCAATTACATCCACCTTCCCTTCTTCCGTCTTTATCAACCATTACGCCTCTACCCTCATATTCTTTTCTCCATCCCCTCCCCTCCCACCCCTCCGTTGCCCCCTGTTGCGTCCTGCGGCAGGTGGACGGTGGCTGGAGAGGCGGGGGAGGGGGGGGGTGTTGAGCGGACTGTTGGGGGAAGGGGCCAGGAGTGGGGAGGAATTCGTCATATTCCCCTCCCCCTCTATGGGTGGGAGAAAGGGGAAGGAGGAGAAGGGGAGCGAGGCTGAATGGGAGGTTGCTGGGAAAAGGGAGAGGGGGAACAGAGAAAAGGCTGATGCAGGGAAGGGAAATGGGAGGTGGCAGGGGGAAGAGGGAAGAGGGAAGGAGACGAGGAGTTGTGGAGGGACGGTGAATGAGAGATCCAGGGAGAGGGAGAAGGGAGAAGAGAGGAGAGAAGAGAAAATGAGAAGGAAAAAAGAAGACGTGAGAAGGGAGGAATCAAAGGTATGAAAGGTAAGAAAGAAGGGAAAAATAAGAAGTAAGAAGGGAAAAGACGAAGGGGGAAGGCGCTACCGGTAGTGGGAAGGGGGAGGGAAGGGGGAGGGGCGGAGGAGGGGCGGAGGGGGGGCAGGGCGGCGCTGCAGTGAGACAGCTCGCCGCCGCCGCCGCCGCCGCATCCGACTGCGCCTGCGGTCACGCCATCTCACGAACACCGACAGCCTAAAAAAAGGCCTAAAGTTTTCTTCCAAGCTTCTATTCCTTTCATTAAAATTGGGATTTATGCGTCACGTAACGTCCGACTGAGATGAATATTACTTCTTAGCAGGGAATTCGCCGGAATTATTCTCTTTTTTCCTTTCTTTCTTTTCATTCAAACTGCTTTTCGCCATTAAGCTCTTTTTTATTTTCGTTTCCTATGATCCTGCAAAGTCAAGGTCACGACAAAGAGCAGGCACCACTGAACAAAATATAAAACGAAAAAACAACTTTAATCTCAGACTCTGACCTTGACTTTTTCCCTTCCTTTTATGTGCCTTATGTTACTCGCTCCCCTCGCCGTCACACACACACACACACACACACACACACACACACACACACACACACACACACACACACACACACACACACACACACACACACACACACACACACACACACTCTCTCTCTCTCTCTCTCTCTTTTCTCTTTCTCTCTCTCTCTCTCTCTCTCTCTCCTCTCTCTCTCTCTCTCTCTCCTCTCTCTCTCTCTCTCTCTCTCTCTCTCTCTCTCTCCTCTCTCTCTCTCTCTCCTCTTCTCTCTCTCTCCTCTCTCTCTCTCTCTCATCCTCACGCAACGCTCACAAACACAAAATAATTAAACAAAACAGCATGGAAGAACGAGAAAAAAACGGCATTCGAAAATCAGACTCGAGCCCAAACCGAAGAGGATTCCCAAAGCTTTAAAGTTCCCTCGACCGCAACTTGCGCGAGCGCTTCCTTTCATCAGAGAAGCCGCTGCTCCCGCCACCGGCACCATAATCACTGACAGGGCGATTAGCGGTCACAATGCAATATTACAGCCATTGCAACTCTCGACTTTGTTATTATAATCGGCCTGACCATGAAAAAAAAAACATAAAAAAAAGATTATCACTCCATCCCTATATGCTTATTGTCTATCACCATCGTTAACATCATCACTATTCGTCATTATTGCCAATGCCGCCGTCACTATCAACCTCGCCCTCCTCACCATCACCCCACCATCCGCCCCTTCCCAGCCGAGGCGCAATCAAGGCAACATGACGCGGGGAAACAAGAGCAAATCTCCCACAAGGTCTGGCAACACTTTCACGGCGACGCTCATATCGGAGGTGGAAGAGAGGGAGGGAGAGGGAGAGGGGAGGGAGAGGAGAGGGAGAGGGAGAGGGAGAGGGAGAGGAGAGGGAGAAGAAAAAGGAGAGAGAGAGAAAGGGAAAGGAGATGGAGAGAGAGGAAAGAGAGGGAGAAGGAGGGATGACGAAGACGGAAAAGAAAAGAAGCAGAAGAGATGTGGAATAAAAATTAAGTTAAGGGGAAGGGGAAGGAGAAGGAGGAAAAGAAGAAGGAGGAGGAAGAGCAGGAGGAAAAGAAGAAAAAAACGAGGAATAGGAAAAAAATAAGAAAAAATAAAATTAAAAGAAAGAGATGAAAATTGAGGAGGACGAGGAGAAGAAGTGGAAGAAAAAAGAAGGAGAAGAAAAAAAAAGAAAAAGAAGAAGAAAAAAGAAGCGAAGAATAAATCACCGCCATCGCCACACCCGTCGACAGCACGTAGGGGAGGGATTGCAGAAGGACTGATTCATCGTCGACAACCTTCCCTTCCTCCCATTCCAGTGCAAGGGAGGAGAGGAAGGAGGAGGTGGGGGGCGGAGTAAGAATAAGAGAGGAATAGGAATAGGAATAGGAATAGGAGGTGAGGAAGAGGAGGAAGAGGAGGTAAGTTCAGGAAGAGGAGGAGGAGGAGGAGGTAGTTCAGGAAGAGGAGGAGGAGGAGGAGGAAGATGAAGAAGAGGATTGGACAGAGAAGGCAACGAAACAAACAAACAAACAAAAGAGAACAGGACCAAGACCATCCCCACAGCCCAACCCCCGACTCCGGCCGACAGCAACGGCGCACACAAGAATTCCTCCGCCGCCCCGCCCTCAGCCGACGTCCACGCAGCCAGTCTTGAAGGTGAGGGAGGCAACCTTGGGCGAGGAAAAGTTCCCGGACGCGTGTCAACAAACTCTGTCCCTCGAATTCCGACGGGATAGCGAGTCCTACGAGCACCGGCGTTTCCGCGCTTGAGGACGGAGCGAGCTGCATCACGGAGAGGAACGGGAGATGGGAGGAGGAGGATGAGAGAGGGGGAAGGAAGGGTGGAGGTACACGAGGAAAGGGTGGGGGGAGGAAGGGGAAGTTGATGAGGAAGGAAGGTGGCGGAAGGTAAAATGGAAGAGGGAAAAGATGTAAATATGATGAGGATGGAAGGAAACAAGTGGAAATAAGAGAAGGGAAACAGAAGAGAACAGAGAGAGGGGTAAAAGGATAGCTAAAGCTTGTCAAGCCTTGAAAATAAAAGAGGCCCAGAAAATACATACTTCTTAAAATCGAATAAACAAGAACGCGTAAATTGGCCTTCTGTTCCCGCGGTGGGCCCGGCGGTGTCCCGAGACACGAGAGCGCAGGTGAATCGGCTCCGCTCGCCGCAGGCCGTAACATCCGCGTCGCCGTTATGATAATGCCGAGTTACGGTCGCCCGGCATCGTCGCCGCCCGTGTCACCTGAGAGGCCCCCGCTGCCACCTTCTGCAGACACAACAAATCGACGGCGAAGGCGAAGCATTATGATTTTACAATGGCACGTTCACATGTGCGGTAGGCCGGTCGTTAAACAGTTCCGACATATGGCTTAAGACTCCCTTAATAAGCAAAGCCGCTTGCCCCATGTGGCTTGAGCAAGTCGCCGGGCGATATCAACCAAATGTTATGTGGATTTGCGGTGGCCATGGACACGCGACGGGACCCTCTGCGGCGCTGGCGAAGTCAAGGCGTCGATGAGGACATGGATATAAGGTGAGAACAAAACGCAAAACTTCCCCGACGCAAAGCAAGGATCGGGTGTTTGGTTAGCAATTTATAAGACTGCAGACGCTTAGCCTACTTCCGGACGAAACTTCATGATCAACGTTCAAAGAATCCTGTTCACTTGACTTAAAACCAGTGCTCCTACAGTCAGCTGATCAGCGCGGCCAGAACACGTGGCTTCTGCTTTCATAGAGCACGACCTTTCGAAGTTGCGTTATTCATAAGATTTCGCTTATTTAGGCCTTCGTGATGATTCCACACGCGAAACATGATACAGTACTATCAAGGCTATCCTCTCAAACAATGAAAGGAAAAAACACGGCATCCTAAATAAATAAAGCGAGCGTCACCCCCTTCAAACACAACACCGAAACCAAAACAAGAAACAAAGAAAGCGAACACTCACTTGGACCTGCGCCGGTTGAGAGAGTTGGTATGTAGTTCTGCGGGAGTCCTCGCGGGGCTGACGGACTCTAGCGCTGGGCTAGACGACCCCGAAAGCGAAGACAACGAGAAGCTAAGCGGAGCCAACGCTCCCATGCCGCTTGTCGCACCTGCGAAGGCAAAGGGGAGTCAGTAATGGAAAAGACGGATGCTGGAAAAGGAAGGAGAGGAAAGGAATGAAGGGGAGGAAGGACGAAGGCCTGCGAAAAGAAAAGGGGAGGGGGGAAGGAAGAGCTGGGATACTAGAAAGGAAGGGGAGGGAGGGGGGAAAGGGAAGGGAAGGGGAAGGAAAAGGAATGGGAAAGGAAAGGGGAAGGGAAAAGGGTAGGCGACACGGTATAAGAAATAATAGAAAATAAGAAAAGAAAAATGGATATATGGGAAGGTGTGAAGGAGTGAAAAATGGCATAATTTTTTCATGTGTTAGTTATGTTAATCAATGAACAAATAACTAAAGTATCCAAAATAGTCATATTCAAGTACCTTTATCATTCTCCATATTTGCGGTGTCTGGTTCGTCAACTTTAATTGTAATAACAGGTGCTGGCGAAGCGTTATATGACGGGTGCCATGACGCCGCTGGCTCAAGCCCGCGGCACAATTTGGCACCAACTTGGGGTTCGGAACACTGAGGTTCCAGGTTTGAAGATTGAAGAATTTTGGAACAAGAGAGTTCCGGTGCAGAGCTGATAACTTGACTTGTGCTCTTGAAAGAATGAGAAATCTGTTCAAGAGAAAGGTTAGATCCACGTAAAGACTTCACAGTTAATAATCTAGTCTCAGGTACTAGTTTAAGGAAGTCCTTTTTGGCACTTTGATTGGCTAGAAAATTTTGCTTCAGTCTGCCTTCAAATTTCTCTTCTCGATGGCAGTTTTCTTTGTCAGATGATGAGAGAAAACGATCGCTCTCTGTATCGCTCAAACGTAGAAAACGAGCATCACCGTTCTCGCTTGAGAGAAAACGGAGATCCTCATCTTCTAGGGGATACTCCGGTGGAGGTGTTACCGATGACGACTCGAAGCGTAGCGTATTCCTAGATGCTGCTCTACTTTCCGTCTTCGAAGTCCTCGAACTCAAAGACTCTTCGTCCACGTGATCGAGATTTAGGATGAACTCGTGGTCGTGAATAAGCGACGGGAGTCCTAAGGATGCTTCTCCCGAATCACTGAAGTAGTCGCTCGTGACGCTATTGGCTCGGGCCTTCAGCAATGGAGACCTGCAATAGACGAAAGGCAATTAATGAACCGATCTCAAAGGGTTGAAATGCATGGGAAAGCAACGAGAAATAAGTTATGAGTCCAGGCATGTATATGTAATGTATAAATAAAATAAAAATCGATAACTAACATTTGCATATATGAATATACTGCATACATACATACATAGCTGACATAGAGATGTATATACATACATACATACATACATACACACCAATGTATACAAAATGTATATCTAATGCATAATACACACACACACACACACACACAACACACACACACACACACACACACACACACACACACACACACACCACACCACATATATATATATATATATATATATATATATATATATTATATATATATATATATATAATTATATAAATATATATATATATATATATATATATATATATATATATATATATATATATATTATATATAATGTAAGTATATTGGAGAGGTAGCAAATTTATTACTTCTCTATTTCCAAAACACAGTTGTCAGTGAATAATACATCTGCATCTCCCCTTAAAAAGTCCGCCCATTTCTTAAACACACTATAATTCATCCACACCATCTCATCCATCCCAACCAATACACAAATAACGAAAGTCCTCTGCGTTCTAAAAACTCGAATCGCCTCGAATCCCCAAAAAAGCGAAAGTGACATCCCCCCCTCACAGCCCCCTTCCCCCCCTCCTCCTCCCTGACCGAAATGCTTTCAAGCTGAAAGTAAAATTCGCGCCCGGCATTGTGACCCTCTGACCCGTCTGTGTAGCGACCGGACCGAGCCGCGACACTGGGAATAATAATAATAATAATAATAACAGTGGCAGAGCAAAAGGGGGTACAGCATCCGGTATTTTGCCATCGCTATTGTGAGAGGCGCCAGCAAAGTCGGGCGTGGCGTACTGCTGTGGCCGCCCACGCAACGCTAGACCTACATAGCTCTGCGGCGGGAGAATTAGGAACAGCCGTTAATATATAATAATAGGTCGATCATTTCAACATATCTGCTGTATAGAGGCAGAGCAGTGCGGCATGAAATCTGGGGGAAACGGTCCTTCTGGTACGAAAGAGAAACTTGCAGAACAACAAGAAATGAGAAATCTGTGGGAATGTATAAAGAGACGACAATATGGCAGATTAATAAGTCATTAAAAGTTCAAATTAAAGTTAAAAAAACAGTATCTAGTCTTTCAGCATTTCTTAGTGACGTTTATAATTCCGAACGGTAAAATTAAATGTGAAAAAAAACAATGTCAATGAGTGGGTAACTTTTAAATGGTCTCTCCCTAATTAAAACGTAAATCTTCATAATATGAAATGAAATATCACTGCAGACGATAACGTCAGTCTCTTCAGAACTAATGATAAACCCTGGGAAAACATGATAAAAAGGTCACTAAAAATAAGAACCCAAAACCACAATAGCAAAATACGCCTTAACATTCTTGATAAATACAACAGAAATCAACAGGTGTACTCTCCCGTTTTTCCACATCTTTACCCGACTCATTAAACCCAATTAGCTTCCCTAATGATAATTCCTACCCATGCTGTCGCAATCACTATCATCACCGCCACGCGCGCATTATTCCAATTATCATAACCATCGCAATCACAATGCTTGGCCTTCAAAGACAGTCCCCGAGAACGGCACATTCTTTGGCCGTGCAAAATTACGTTCCCTGGTTATCCACTGTGGGAAGGTACGGAGCTTTTGCACGCTTTTTAATCCACTACCGAAAGAAGTACAATGTCACAGACTTCTTAAATTAACGAAATATAACCTTGACTCGTCCTAAAAATTACTATTCATTGCTATAGAGAAGGAAATACCATGTCCATTAAGCCTAACGCGAAACTACAATAAATATCGATGTCCACCGTGGGCTTATCGGATATATTCAATATGATTAACATTACCATTCCTCTTCCTCTGCGCCAAATTCTAAGACGCTCGAATTGAGCAAGCAAACAGCAAAACAAGCAACATTCACGCCAACGCCAACGCCCTAGCATGCACGTGAGCTTCTGCAGGTGCACCTCCCCCCCCCTCCTTCCTTCCTCTCCTTCTCTTCCCTGTCTCCTTCTCCCCGTCCCCGTCTCTCCTGTCCCCCTTCTCTCCCTGTCCCCTTCTCTCTCCTTCCCTTCCTGACTCTCCCTTCCCCTCCCCGACTCTCCCCTGTCCCCCTTCCCTCCCGACTCTCCTCTTCCTCCCGTCTCCCCATCCCCCACCCCCTACGAGCCTCCAAGGAACAAGTTTCACTCGTCCTTTATCGCTAAGTCTCATGCGAGAAGCCACACCTGGAAGCAGGAGGAGGGACTGTCTGGGCTTCCACGGATAATGCATACACATGTGGGTGTGTTTGTGCTGATGTTTGCTTGCTTGTGCTTGCCTGTGCGTGTGTGTCTGTGTGTGCGTACATGTGGGAAGTGAGGTTACAAGCATGAACGTTTGCTTGGATTTGCACATTTGACATACAAACAAAAACAAGAAGCACAACAACAAGACGCCATTTGTTTCTAGCAGAGGATAATTAGCGTCTAAAGGGAAGTTACTCGTGTTCTTCAGGTTTTTATCTTGTCTTACTGCGGTGTATTTATATCTAAGCATGCATTTACGTGTCACTGCGGAAAAAAAATGGAAAACCAGTTCACTATGCTTGGTTTTTCCAAAGAAACTTTATTCACGATAACTTCAGCATGCACCAATGGCTAAGGGTGTGAAATTCAATACCTTCTAAAATTCCACATTTGCATGTCTATACATATTTACGACTCGGATCATTTACAACTTCCTGACAACACTTCTGTTTTTTCTCCCATTCACTTTTTTTTAAACTCTGGAGACTTCCATCGGCTTACTACCCAATTTAAACCACCTGGTTAAGCCCAGCTGAATATTCATAGAAAGCTGATGAGTGCGTTGGCAAACACTCGCCCCCTCTCGTTACGAAGAGAAATGCCGAGACGGTGTAATTTACATAATAATCTTGGGTGTGATTCTTGGCTCCTGGGGACCCGGCACGCTCCCAGGTCGCGGGGGCCAACTTGCAATAACACTCCTGCCCCTGCAACTGCGCGTCTCCAAGCCAGGGAGGACGCGGGCGCTCTGTCGACACCGGCTTAATCCCCCCCCCTGCCATTTGCTCTCCTATCGACCCCCGGGAAGACTCGTTCTCTTGGCGTGAATCGGCCGAGGTCTCACGAATACCGCGCCATTTCAAGAAGACAAAACAGCCTCACGTGCCTTTCATTACTTAAACCGTGACGGGAGTAAAGTCATCTCACCCTCCGCCAGAAGCCAACGGCCCTCTCCGCCTCGTTACAGGGAATGAGGGCGGCTGGCGGCGTCTCGGAAATGCGAGTGTCTTGACGGCGCCCAAGGACCTCCTCGAGCCAAGGAAGGATAAAGGATAAAAAAGATGGGGAGTGGAATAGTGTTGGAGGAAGAAGGAGTAAGCGCGGTGACAATAAGATATGTGGATAGAGAAGCCAAACCAACTGAAAGGATCGAAGAGGAGAGAGAGAGAGAGAGAGAGAGAGAGAGAGAAGAGAGAGAGAGAGAGAGAGAGAGAGAAGAGAGAGAGAGAGAGAGAGAGAGAGAGAGAGAGAGAGAGAGAGAGAGAGAGAGAGAGAGAGAGAGAGAGAGAGAGAGAGAGAAGAGAGAGAGAGAGAGAGAGAGAGAGAGAGAGAAAAGAGAGAGAGGAGATAAGAAGAAAGAAAGCGAGAGAGGCGGGGTAAAAACAAGCAAGATAAGAAAACGTCATGAGAATCGCAAGCACAAACATCCGCCATTTCCCCGACGACAGCAGTGGGCGGCGCGCGTGGGTCAAGGGCACAAAGACAACGTGACTCTCCCTCTTTTAAAACGCCTTAATCGCCTGTAACATCACCACCAGGCGACTCTCCGCTGGATCCGAGTCGCCAAGAATTGAAATGGCGTTAAATAAAAATATGGCAGTTCTTTTTTCCAAACTCCTTTTTTTTCCAAACCGTTAATGACAATCACTTCCTTTATTTAAAATAACAAAATAAATAAATAAATAAATAAATAATAAAATAATAATAATAATAATAATAAATAATAATAATAATAATAATAATAATAATAATAATAATAATAATAAATAAATAAATGAAAAAATAAACAAAAAAAGGGAGAGAAAAATAAATGGTCAGTTAAGCTCCTCGCAATCACCATAAAACGGGTTCAAAGGGAATCATGGTATCTAAAAGAGCCATTTGCACGGCCATTTAAGGGACAGCGTTAATGATAAAGCGGCGCTGGACATTTACACAAAAAATGGCTTCCTCGTCCGCCTTACACACGGACACACACACACAGACAACATACGCACACGACACACAACACACATACACACGCACATACACATGCACATGAACACGCACGCACACACGCACACAACACACAACACACACAGACACACACACACACACACACACACACACACACACACACACACACACACACACACACACACACACTACAACTCACTACACCAACGAGACTCTCAGTGAATCTTCTCTTCTCTGACGTTCTGGTACATTCTATCTTTTCGAAGAGTTCCCGAGATTTTGTTTTGGTCCATTGTCCGATTCTCTTCCCCTGGCTTGGTTTTCGTTATCTCGTCCACCGCGAATAACTTTGAGCGGATTGAGACGGCTGAGGCTGGCATTATCTCTCATCTTTTCTTTTTTCTTTTTCTTCTTTTTTTCTGTTTCTTGCTCTCAACTTCATTTCCTAGATTTTTTCTTTTTTTTCTTTCTTTCTATCTCCTCAGCCATTATCTTTCTCTTATTTTTCCTTCATAACTCTCTTTTCCTTTCTCTATCTCTCTATTTGTCTACCTGTCAGCTTCTATGCATGCATGTCTGCCTGCTTGCCTGTCTATCTGCCTCTATGCCTGCCTGCACAACTGCTTGCCTGTCTCTTTTTCTTTCCACTATTCCCTTTCCCCCTCTT